ACAACTTTCGCGGATTATTGCTTTCCTTTCGCGGACCCATCGCGGATCTTTCGCGGGCACACTACTTTACATGTTAAACCGTTTGATATAATCCCGACACAAGGACCTTTAGATCAATGCTATATATCGAGCGGAATCTAACGACACACCGAGTTGGATGACTACACTGGGGCAAGACCCATCCATAACATTCGCATGCTCCTCCACTCGGCTTCGGATGCAAAATGGGGGGATCCTGATCCGTGGTTCAGGTGCTGCCGAGGCAGCCCTGCATTTTCTACATCCCCGTGCGATGCGCTACTTCCGCGGTGTGAGCTTTCCGAAAATCTATTTTCTCCGCTTCTCTTCGCTGTCTCCTGAAAAGCAGAAGCGGCAAAAGCCAAGGCCAAGTGCGAAGGGATTCGCCACGACGTTCAAAACCATCGAGTCCTTCAACCAGGTGCAATCCAAAGCCCACTGCCGCTTCATGACAGAAACTCATTTTCTGGAATGGTCGCAAACGGCAGAGGGGAGAAGCTACTCAAGCTCGTCCTCTGTCTTGGATGTTCGGTGATGAAGCCGATGGCGAGTCTACCGAAAGTATTCTCATCAGGATGCGTGGTCTTTTGCTCGACGACCATCTGGTAGCCCCGGCGTCCCCACTCGTGATTGGAGGCAATAGTTTCGAAAGCATATTTTTGTACCTCGGAGAGGCTGGAGCACTTCTCTGGCAAGCCGGCATAATTTTCGAGCGCCTGGTCTTGCCATTCAACATAGATCTCCTTGCGGCTGGTCAGAGTGCGGCAGAGTGAGGGCTTCACTCAGGAGCTCGTGGATCGCAGGGAGGCACTCCACGATGTACGTCTCCGGGAATTTCCACATGCACTTGGGCACCTTGGGCGTCTGACGCTGCTCTGCCTGCCAAACGGTTCCATCCACTACGATGGCATGTGGATGGTGGCGGATGAGCCTCGCATAGACGAGCTGCTCGACGGATCGTTCTGTGCAGCACCCAGTCCACTGGCTGGCAGCCTGCGCGAGGACTGTGCTCTGTCAACCGCTCTTACATGTTCTCGCGAATTCGGCGTTCGAAGGCGAAGTGCGACGTCCGGATCTTGACAAGTCTGCCCGGCAGGACCATGACATGCGCCACACCGGCATGCGGAGTGCAATGCCAAGGGTGCTTGCCGGACCAAACGTAGAGGCGACACCCGCGGTCAGTTTCAGTTTAATTAGATGACGTGCCCGATGTGCCCGATGTGTCGGTGGATGCTCTAAAGAGACGACTTACAAGCAAAAAACGGGTAGAATTAGATGTAGCCATATGTAGCCGATGTTCCGGCGGATGGCTTTTTCCCTTATAAAGATACGGGTTCAGAGGGAATGCCGTAGCTGCTGAAGTCACTGGCCGACAGCTGACCGGGTTTCGCGCGGTCGCGAAGTCCGACTTGTTCCCTTGCTTCAGCTATCTTCAGCTTCAGCAGAGCATGTGTGTGCCAGGCTGAGGCAAGGCTTCTGTTACCAGCTGGCCCAGAGTGCCACGCTTGAGCTCGAAGTGCCACACCGGACGGCTGCTGTCCACGGCACCTGCGATTTGTGGCCAGTTCCCCCCACGGCCTCCTTCTTCCCCATCTGTTTCTTTCTGGCTCTCCAGCTCCGCTTGGTGGTCTGTCGCGTCTCTCTAGTTCCCTTTCGTGGGCCAGCGAGTGCTGGGCTTCTGCGTTCGCCGCGAGACTCGAGTAGTCAGCGGCCCAAGCGTCGACTCGAGCTCTGCCTTCGGCGGGACAGCGACCAGGGGCATCGGCATTACAGCCGTGACCTGAGGCTCCTCTTCCTCCTCTCGGCAGTCGTGACCCGAGGCCCGCTTACTCTTCGGCCGCATCGGTCTTCATAGTAACAGCCGCACCAGGTCGTTCGCTTGTGGCTGCGACCGTCTGATTGGTCAAGGGAGAGGCTGGCAAGGATAGAAGAGCTTGCCGCCGCGCGCCCGCGTCCGGGAAGTCCCCATGGGCATCTATTTGACTCTCCGCCAGCTCTTGGCCTCCGAGGACTCCGAGCCTTCAGCGGCGCCTCCCACCTGGATGCGGAGGCCTCGATGGATGCCTTGCATCACGAGGCGCTGTTCTTTCTCCTCCTGTGTAGCTAGGCCAGACAACCGCGTCGACATAGAGCTGCGCCGACCGGTAGCCTCCCTGTCTGAGGCACGCCGCCAGCACCGAACGGCCACGGTTCCACGCCGTTGGCCGCCGCCACCTTGAGCCAGAACTTGATGCGGGAGTCGAGGGACCGCCGGGTGGAGGAGGCCACCGCGTTGGCCTCTAGCTCGTCGATGGCCCTCTGTATGTTCTGCGGTGCCGCTTGGCCGCCGGCCGTCGATACGGCAGGTCCGCCCTGTGCGGTGCCATCGCCGACGGGGCGGGTCCCGGTGTCGTCGGGCCCACCAGGTTGAGAATGACCTGCTCCGGGACCCCACCAGAGACCGGGATATGTACCTGGCCGCCGGCATGCCCTCCGGCGGCGCCGAAGCGTCTTGAGCCATGTGGGGGGAGAGGGCGGCTCGGGTCCGCGTCGTCGTCGCAGAGCAGAAATGGCTGCGGGAGAGAGTGGGAGCACACACGCCGAGGAGACACAAAACCGGACACACGCAGCTCCGCCTGTCTGGTTTTAGGCAGGTCCCTTGCCTACCGAACAAAAGCAAGTCTTGAGCCTACAGTGGCCCCGAGGTTCCTGCTCAGCTTTTAGACATGTGGCGTACGATGACGCGCGACTGCGGGCCATGTGTCGGATCGAATGGTTTAACCTACATTGCAGCAGTGACTGTAGTGTTCCGCTGAGGAGCTAGTTCGTGGATGGCAAGGAAGAGGGAGTGGTTCGCCGTCGCACCAACGACCTCACTGTCCAACGATGTTCAACTTACATGTGCAGAAACGAACCGTCATCCGAGGTCAGTACGTAGAGCGCGAGAAGCAAGGCAGGGAGCCTCCACTCAAGTGTCAGCCTCCGAGCTTTGAGCACAAAGGTTCGCACATGCTCCCAGCAACACGAAACACCCATGCCGACGGGGCCCTGACCATGCCATGAAGATTTGAAGGGCTACCTTCGTCGAGGATGACATATCTTTTTTAGTCTCCGAATTTCGCAACCAGCGAGGCGTCAGCGTGAATTGCAACCTTTTCCGGTGTACTGGGCAATACTGGGCACAGCAGTCAAGTACATCAGGCAGCAGCTTTGGCATGGAGCTGATAAGATCTGCGCTGAAAATTGAGCAGAAAATTGCAAGGCGTGATGTCGTCCGCACAAAGCCGAGTGCACCAACAATTCGGCCAAGGACCTTGCCGGACATACACCACGCAATGAGAAGCGAAAATGAAGCAGGGGCCGCTCAGATGCTCGGTCTTGTCAAACGACGTTGTCCATGTGGAATCATCGGAGAGATCCAAAGAACGACGAAATTGCATCCTCGTGAAAGCCAGTCTTTGCGCACCCGTGCTACGGTTTGGTCAACATTGTGCAGCGAGACTCAGCCTGCCGGCGGCTTATAACATTACAACATGTTGCAACTGACATTCTGTTCTTCTGCTTCTATCTTCTTCAATGTTTCGGCTTCTCTCCACTCTCCACCCTTCCCCAAGCCGACACCGCAGAAGCCGGGTGGAACCGATCCACTAACTGAACCGGAGTCTTGGACACGCTTTGCCCTAATCCGACACTCGTTCCCACTATGGCCATTCGTCACTGCAGTGCTCTGTTGTCGGTTGTTTGCTGCTCTGCAAACGTAGCATCTGCGAAATCAGATGTAACTTGAAAGAGGTCAGGAGCGCTCCCGTCTCCTCGCTCGGAAGAGCACCAGCAGCTTGCAACTTGGCCGTGAGCTCACCCGACTCGTAAAGTGGAACCAGCCCAGGTCCTGCAAGATATGCGGCCGCAAGTTGACACTGTCCAATTTCCGAAACCTCTCTCCTTCCATCAGGCCGCCAATACTCTCGCCGCCGATGAAGATGTGTGGCATGCTCGTTCCTACAGGTAGAGTGGGAGGAGTGGGAGGAGGATGGAGGAGGGCCTCACTGAAGGATACTGCTTTTCCAGGTGCGGCCAGGGCTCTTCCATACATGGCACCCAGCTCTGCACGTTTGGCTGCACTCTCTCCCAGCATGAGGAACCATTCGGGTGCCAGTTGGATTTCTTTGTACTGAGCCCCCAGTGAATCCAGGAGCTTAGTTGCTTCTGTGCAGAAGGGTGAGAGGCCGTAGGTGTAGACCACGACCGGGGCAGACTTCACATCCTCCGAGATCTTGGCTCGGATCTCTTCCTCGTCATAGCCCAGAGCCTGAAGTTTAGCTTCAGCGGCGAAAATGGGCTTCAGCAGGCCCATGCCAAGACTTGCAACTTTGAGTGGAGCCAGCAGCGGTGAAGTCGCGCTGTCCGTGGCCACTGCGATCTCTTCGGATCCTGCTTGACGAGTGAGCTGTGACGGAGGCTTGGCCTTTGGGCTCGGAGTCACAAAGACATTGGCGGGCAGCAGCAAAGCCCAGCAGAATGCCACGACTGCAAGACAACGAAGGGGCCGAAGCTGTGCTCGGGACAGCTTCTCCATGGCGCACAACAGGAGTCAATAAGTGGACAACAAGAAAACTCCACTTCTTGCGCCAAGCGGCTTCGTTAGCTGTCATTGGCTTTAGGTTTGCCAGCGATTCTGGACAAGAGCGAGGCACTGCAACAGTCGAGAAAGGAGGGTGCTCTGCTGAGAACTTGACGGTTGCTGCCACAATATACTTCGTTCGCCACTCGGGCCCCATCAGACCTGCTGACATCGGCATGTTGGCATTGTCGTCATGCTGTTCAATTTGCTTTCCTGGGCCTCGGGCTTTTGATCTCAGGATGCTGCTTCAGAATCTCCGCCCTTGCAAAACGACGCTGCTGCAAAGCAAACATCTTGTGAAACATGCTAAGTGCTGCAGCCTTCTGGTCACATGGGGCTCGTCGGTGGTGCTGAAGAAGTAGTCCCTGACGGCACTTCGCCAGCCCGGGCATTCGCTCTCGCTCACGGCATGCTCACCGCATGCTCTCGCCGGCCTCCGTGGCCCCTCCATTTCGGCCTCTCGCTGACTGGCCGGGCCGTGAACGTGCCCGGATCGGCTCAAGGCCAAACCTTATGAGGGAAAAACCTTGAGCCGAAAAACCAAGGGGAAATGAGAATGCTTAGGCTTTCCCCGACCTGTGAGGCCATTCCTGTCGGATCTCGCGTCACACCAGCCGCTGTCAAGTTGATGCAGGGAAGCTGAGCCTCATGCAACGAACTCGGTCGCGTCGACTTAGGCTGTGAATTCGTCGCAGCGTCTTTGGCTGCAAGCTTGTCTGACTTTGACTTCTCCGATTCCTTGGTCTCCTGGCAAACAGGGACAAAAGCAGAGGAGTTCTGCAAGGACCCCGGAGAACTCCTGTGCTGATGAAGCTCTGCCGGCGCCTTCCTGCTCAGCTAGTTACCATGTGGACTACCGCATGTTACGACGAAGGTCATGTCCACTGTTGAAATCCCTGTTCACACTCCTTCATGCCCGAGGCTGCAGTACATGCGCTGTCGAATGCACTCATGCTACATCGAGATGCATCATGGTCATGCTGAGAACTTCGTCCTTGCCTTGCCAAGGACCTCAGCAGCCTCAATTGGCACAGCTCATCATACCGCCACTGCATGCTCGAGAAATTGCGAGACCGGTGCTGGTCGCAGCTGAACCATCTGCTGTCCGTCAGCCCGAGCAAACACCTCTGCAAACAAGCACTCGGTCGATCGACGGGCGTTTCGGGAAGGCCTTGACCGTCTTCATCCGGCTCAGTGCCTTCCCAGACGATCCGAAAGAGATAAACGGCGACGATAACGGTTGCACATGGGGCACCTGCTGCAATGCTGGTCTGCCGAACTGCAATCCTCGTGCGAGTTCCAGGGTCAGCAGCAAAAGCTAAAAAAGCGCAAACAGGACTTTGGCCAACTGTACCGTGTCTCATCCAAGTCCAACTGCATTGCATCAAAGCAGCTCGCAACTGCCTGAGATCTCTACTTCTTGAGAGCGGGGATCGGAGTTGTTTGCTCGTCGTGCATGGCACACTGCACATAGAAGCCATGTCTGTTGCAACACTTTCGACCTCACTTACATACTCTGGGAAACCACTGACAAGCCCTCCCACTCTCGAGTTTCAAAGGGCAAGTGCAAGCAGAGCAGTCAACGAACTCTCGAGGACAAGTTGGTTGCTCGTCTTTTGCGACGCAGAGTGGATCTGCAACACACTTGGGTCTTGGGGCTCGCAGGCCATTGTCGCAGGCAAGACGTAGTGATTCTTCTCACAAAAATCAGCCTCAGCGGGAACGTAGATGTGCCTGTCGTTCGTGCCGTGCAATGAATGACATTTGTGTTGTCCTGAAGCATGCTGGAATACATCAACTTTCCGGACGTGTTCTTGTCGATCTTGTCGAGCAGCGTGGGGCGATAATGGCAGGCTGTGCGAAACATCTGGCGGTGGCGTGTCATTGGATGCTGAGTTAATTGACAGGCCGAGTCGCTGGGACTTGCTGCAGATCTTCCAGGCTGAGACCTCCGTCCAACAACACAGCAAGCCTGCGGAGTCCACCTAAGATGCTGCTGGGCAGGAACACCTCCTCCATCGGGGAAGTTTCGCTGCCTAGGAGGGCTTCTGCGAAACCGCCGGGACCATTCGACACCGCTGCTTGAAGTGGCTTGTGTTGCTGTGATGCAGCTCCGACACAAGATCGCCAGCGTCTCGAAAACAGCCAGTGACAACTGTGCGAGATGAGACCGTTTGCCACAAGCAAGTTGTTGCTCTACATGGCAAACTCGGCAGGCCGTACCTCCTGCTTTCTTTCTTCCAATGTCATGTGGAGTGCATCTGCTGGGCCACTCGCCTGTCGGATACCATGCGAATACAAGAAACACCTTGCACAACAGCACTGCTGCTACTTGTACCAGCTGCTACCATGCAAGTGCAAGCCCTTGAGGTGCCGTGACCATCTGCAGCAGCATGTCGGATCTCTCATTGACCTAAGGCTTGGCTTGTCTCCAGCGCGCACGATGTGACCGCAAAGCATGCGCACACAATTCTAGTCCGGCATGCTTCATGTGCACTAGTGTGATGTGCTGAAAGGACATGATGTCTTGTCCCTTGTCGGAAACAGCTTCGTTGCCCTGATTCACACACTCTGCGTGAAGCTCAAGCTTGAAGTTTGAGCTGTGTCTCGATCTCACGGATCACAACATTCGGCTGGGTTCAACGTCAAACTTGTAGCTTACGGTTTTGCGATTCTCCAGAGAGGTGTGCACACGATGTGAGCCTGGTTGCCAAAAATTGCTCGTTTTACTCTGAGGCGGCTTTTCCCAATCCACTGGAAACCTCTCCGTCCCATTGCCTGGAACACTGCCATCGAACGGAACGGATAGAGCCAAGGAGTAGGGCTTGATCAAGCGAAGAGGGGACAACTCAAATTCGAAGCATATCGTGCACACTTCAGGGAACTTTCGGACCTTGTATCCCGCCATGTCTTCGCCTGTCTAGTGCATGGTGTCCTGCGGGTGTCTCTTCTTGCTTGCTTCGTCCGTCTATGCTTTTTGTACGTGGCCCCTGAAGTGAAGTGGACATGCGCAACTTGATGCAGTCTAATCTACTCAGTGCGGAAAAACAGCAACGAATCCTTCGCTGTGCTGCAACTTTCGCTGACTGGCATACTTTGGGTAGACTTTCGTGTAAATGCTTCAGAACGAAGACGACGTAAACCTGTACAGCAGGCTCTGCGAAGTGTTTGGCTGCACGACAACAAGTATGAGATCGGTTAAGCCATACTTAAACCGTGCATTTTTCACAAGTACATTGATGCCCACACAGACTAACCTTTCCCTACATCTTTTGGTGGATGGAGGAGTGCTCCACCGTGAATTCAAACTAATAATTATACCCCTCGCAAAAGCACTGCGTACACATCCCTGGGTCACCTTGTTAACAGTGATTTCTGTTTCGCCCCAGGCGTGCAAGTCCTGTCATTGGAAGAGATGATCTTCGGAGCTCGTTCAGCAATGCATATCCATCATCCTTCAAAGAGGTCCGGGGCATCAGACATTGGGGCAGGTGGTCGTTGCCGTGGGTTCGGTCTATATGGAAATCTATCACAGTACCAGTAAGCGTGAGTTTACACGCAGAACATAATCCGGGCTTTCACCTCTTCCTGGATTTGCACATGAAGCTAGGCATTAGGAGGAATCGAAAAGAGCAGGTCGCGGACTCTGAAGGCTTGCCTCAAACGAGCCGAATTGCACGGAGGAAGGTGATCGACTCGTGTACGAAAATGTCCGAGATGGGCTATTTGCATTTACGTTCCAAGGTCTTCAGGAACAGCTTTTATTGTTTCAGGTTCGAGTCTCGCGGCGCTTGCATTCCAACCCTGGACTTGTTTCTGTTTCTCTACTCGTCAACTGCGGTACGCAGTCCGAATACGCGCAGGGCGATTGGTCTCAAGTAAACGTGGCTAAGAAAGCCCGCAAGAGGGAAGCAGGAAACTCGCTGCGTTACGCCAGAAGCAGGCAGATACAGGTGCCCATTTGAGATTTAATTACGGTACTCCTGCCACTGTCAGGTTGTATCTCAGCGCCCTTTATGAAAGCTCTGTTGCATGTGATTCTAGTTCCAGGATAGACAACTTCGGCATGCGAGGGGGGAATCAACCCACAAGCGGTAGGCACCGCCTCCCACACATTCCTTTGACTGAAGATCGAAAAATCCTTTGCCGACCCTACCGGATTGCACCGGATTGCTCTTCTTGGAACTGATACAACGCAACCACCGCAAGCACCCGAAAGAGCTGGATTTCTTCACAACACCTGTATTCGTGATGGAGGGACTTACAGAATGGATGAATGCACAGAGGGATGGACAGATAGATAGTTAGAGAGATGGATCGGATAGACTGATACATAAAACAGACAGTTTTTTCTTCTTATAGTACTCTCCATATGTGCATGATATACATGATATACTTGCAAGTAGGTGTGTGCCGCGTAGGTTTAGCAGGTATACGACAAATTGCATACCCAGGCATGTATATATCTATAGATATATAGATATACATATCTATTTATTTATTTATTTACCATATATATATATGCGTATATATATATATACATATATATATATATGTATATACATATACACTGATCGTTTACAGCCAGCCCGCGAGGCCGGCCAGCAAAGAACCAGAGAGACTGGCGAGCC